TCAGAGAAACCAGAATGTCAAGGACATGCACCTCAGCCTGGGAAGCAGATGAGTGTCTGTGCGACGAGGCTAAGAGAACACTGGCACCCCACCCCACACTGCCATTTGCATGTTTCTTAAGCAATGGAGATAGAGAATATTTACTTAAATTTCTTGAATTTCTCATAGAATGCCACCGATGCAGAATCAAGCAGTGAGCTAGACATGGTTCTCATGCGGTTCTTGTGAAAGAGTTGAGACATTTTCCAAATTTTCTATTTTTATTCCTTCCTTTTACCATCCAACAGAAAATCGCTGCTTAGGGATTTCCTCAGTGTCTGGATTCCGAGAGGCAGCAGAGAAGGGTCCATGAAGAGAATCCTTGCTTTGTGAGGTCACTCACGGGCATTCCAGTACATCACTAGCCTGCAGGCCCATCAGGAGGGAGCTCCCTAGTGGGTCTATCCACGGATCCTCTCTTCCCAAGGAGACTGTGAGTGCCTAGATCAGCAAGAGTTATTATGAGCAGCCAGCAATGGTGAGGCTCTCGGCTAAAGCTGGAGACGCTACAGATAGGCCAGACAAAGGCCCTCCCTTCTCAAGAAGTGCTTCCACCTGATAGACAAAGGTCCTTTAAAATCTGTTAGAAAAAGTTAAGGGTCATATAAGAGGGAAAAGCAAAGTTCTCTGGGGTTATAAGAGTGAGAGTGTACACGCAGGGCACAGCACTGAAAACACTTTGAAGGACAAGGAAGGATTTTCATAGGTTTGGGGCCAGAACAAACGGGAGAAGCAGAGAAGGTAACATATGCCCTGTGTTGGCTAATTGGGGGCATGGAATCTGCACATATGAACAACCCAAGTATCCCCTGATAAGCCCGTGGGGTACAAACGTTTTAAATACAAGAGCATCACACATTGTACATAACTACTGAAAATCAACTTTGTATCCCACATGGATGTATAATAAACTATCTTTAAACATTTTTTTAAAAAAACAGCAGTATGGACTTTTGCTCTGCTCAACTCTCAGGACTAATAGATTCTCCTCACACTCCTTTCCTTCTCCTAACTCCTTTGGCTTTTGAGGCCAATCAAGACAGAGGGATCTGGGCAGCCCTGTGTTGGATTATATGTTTAGTGGTTAAATTGGCCTGTTTCCTGGAAACAAACCTAAGTTCTTGGGCCATAAGGAGGTAAACACCCACTACCTCTGCTGTCCCGTGTATTCTAAACGAGTGTATATGACCATTCTTGGTACAAAAATATTCTTGTAGGCAAGACTATTTGGACTGGGAAATAACATCTTATTTACTCATTTTCTCCATTTAAAATAAAATCATCAACAGCAAAACTTTAAGAATCACTTTGATTAATGTCCCCAAGATTCGAACTTTAGCCCCATCTTCTCCCTCCACACTCTCCCCTCGGAATCAACTCCTCCTTTAACTCCCACTGCCTCCTTTGGTCATAGGGCCCCCTAATGCCTCTGAGGCTCCCACCTTCCCCAGAGTGGCCTCCTGGAGCGGCTGCTCCCGTTCTCCATCTCTGTTTCCACCTGCGCCAATACATCCATGTGCCCAATCCCCTGGGGCCCATAGAAGGCCCCGAGTGTGTATATCCTATGTGAGTATCCAATGGATGACACCACAGATCCCTATGTTCCCTCAAGTAGCTGGGCATAGCAGGATTTCATTTCCAAGAACTCCACCGGTACACTTCTGAGCTTTCTCTCCTTAAGCACCAAAGCACACTCTGGGGAAAAAACAGAGAGGAGATTTAAAATATAAAGAATTCTCTCACGATGCTTAGAGGGGTGAGCAAAGATACCCAGCTGCAAGCAGCAGAGAAGAGCCCAGTTGTCCTTAGTGTACTACTACATCAGCACAGCCAACCACAGCTGAGTAGAAAGCAACAGGAAATCAGAGGTGACCGGATTATCCAGGGCCTAATGAAATCATCCATAATTTTTTGTGGATATGTGAACAGGACGGATATCCTGAGATGAGATGACAAAGGGCCACCTCTTCTGCCCTTTCAGCAAGCAACTCACACTCTGCCCAACTTGGGCACCCTATCCCAACTGTGCACAGCTGGGGAAAGTCAGCTCTCAGCAGCTATGGCAGCTTGGCGACTCGGCTCTTCTGGCCAGTCATTCCTTCATTAGTTCCAAGTAACTGGCATTGAAACACGAAACACATATTATAGCCAAATCCTATTATATCTCCTGATGTTTTGCAGGAAATTTTACAAAACTGAAAGTTACAACTACAGTAGTACATAATACGAGGGGTCTTCAAAACATTCATGGAAGGATTCACTTATCTTTCCATACTATTTTCCCACAAACTTTTTGAAGTATCCTCGATTTGTAAATGCCAGAAAGTAAATAGACTGCTCCATACTAACATTAGTAGTTCAATACATTGATGGAGGTGAGGCTTGTGTTCAAATACAACATACATGCTGCTGCTTTTCGTCTACAGCAAAAACATAGAGCCATGCTTATTCTATTTATCCTAAGATTTCCTAAATCCAAACAATATCAGAAAGTAACCATTACTGTCATAACTTTCATTAACTTCATTTTCGAAAAGGACACTGTCAAACATACTGGTTTGATATCTTTGGAGGTCATGCAAGGGGTCATAGGTCATGTGTTTAACTCCTCTCTACTCCAGTGATCATTCAGAAAGAAAACGGAGAGAAACCAAAATTTACCACATCAGAGAAACCACTGTCATCACGCAAAGATTTGGAACAGATGGGAACTTAGGGGCCTCCAACTTTGACAATGTCTCTTTTAAATTGAAATGTCAGTTACTTGCAGAAGTCTGGGGATTCATTCTGTCAGAATTTATCACAAGGAGTATTTGAATAGACTTCTGATATGGAGACTTTGATTCTATGTAGTAAAGTTTGTGAGTTCCAGCAGAGGCAATGCCTCTTAACATGGACCTTATGTCAAACTCTCGTGTAGATGCTAATTAGTAACTACACTCCCAGGTCTTCACCATTGTAATATTGAGCCACAGCCTGCTTTCTCTGCTGTGCTATGTGTGGTATATGTTAATCCAGCCACCAAGGTTAGCCTTTCAGATTGACACTCAAAACAGGGGTAAGGGCTTCCATTCACGGTACAGTGAACAAGGTAAATGATACCACAAGGGAGAAACAAACAGATCCAGAAGGTAGAATATTCTATAGCACAACTGACCCAGTTTTTACAATAAGTCAATTACATGGAGAAAAGGGGGGCGGAAGGGGAGCTCTAGATTAAGAGATAAAAGAGACAAAACAACCAGATGTGATGAGTGGAACTTCGTATGGATCCTGATTAGAACAAAATTACTGTCCAAAGACATTCTTGACCTTCAGGCAATTTGACTTTGCCTGGGTATTAGGTGGAACCAAGTAGTCATGATTTATTTTGTTAAGGATGATAATGGCATTGTGGTTTATACAAGAAAATAACCATATTTTTTAGAGATGCTTACTGAAGGATGTAGGGGTAAAATAACATGCTATCTGGGATTTGCTTTTAAATACTTTAGCAAAGAAAAAGGAAACGGTGGGATTATTTGAAGCAACTGGGGCAAAATCTTGGTAACTGTTGTATCTGGGTGATCAGTACATAAAGGTTCAATGTACTATTCATCTACCTTTGAATATGTTTAAAATTTTTCATGTTTAAAAAATTGATGTAAAAAAATTGAAACACTGAACTAAAAATCTTTGGTAATAAAATGTATAAAAGTTCCAAATCTATAACAAAGATTTTATAGAAAACATATAGCTTTGCCTTTTCCTTTGAAAACATTCTAAGAAATTTAAGTTCTAGTGTTAAGGCTCTGGATTCCGCCATCAACCCTAGAGCCAGGGGTGGCCTTTCTCTCTCTTCCCCTCCCTGAACACTCTGTGCCCACAGGGCAGACCGACCATACCTGCCTCTCCCAGGCCAACCGAACCAGCCAGGAGCTGGCTTCAGAGAGCTCAGCCTCCTTGTAACATTCCCATATGGTTTCTCAGGTTTGGAGCAAGGGTAGGACGGAGAAAGGAAGGTTTGCTGGTTGTAACACAGTGATTTTCTAGCCTCTAAACTAAGGTGAGTTACAAAGTTGATCCCTGTTCAATACTACCACTATGCTTTGAGGGACTAACACATGCTCCTTGAATGGATATATATGTTCTTTTAATCTGTATCATAATCTCATTAGTAAGCACATTCCTGAGTTCCTTCATAGAAGACTGTTAGTGCAATTTTTCAATAAAAGATTGCTTGATACTACTTTTTACTCCTGTCACAGACACATGGAGGAAGTAGAGCTCATTACTGGCCCAAGTAAGCTTCTAGCTCAGTGGCTTAGACCCTCAGTTCGGGGGTCACAACATGAAAATGATGAAAAAAAATGACTCTCAATTCCTCCTTAACTCAGCAAGTCAACTAATGACCTGTGAGTTGGCTACTGGGACAGTGAATCCATGTATTGCCACACCTTGCTAGAAGCCATGGACGAGACACTTGTCCTCTCTATCAACTCCCTGTCTGAAAAGTAAAGATAAAACACATCAAGACAGCTCACCCTATTTTTGCGACTTTTGTGATCTAATTAATGACTTAAGTAGTAACAGAAGTTAAAATTCAAATAAACTTTATCTTCAAAAGAATTGCTATCTAAAGTTAAAACCCATTATCTGCAGAGTTCATACTCCTTTTTCCACCTTACAACTATTCTCCAACACAATGCATTTGCAAAGTCACCATAATTGCTTGAATTTCTGAGTTACAAAATGTGTGAATATTCCCCAGTCCCAATTTCTGGTGTTTAAGAATGCCATTTCTCCTTTCAAATATTATTCATATAATTATGTTGGTTGGTTTATCTTTTGTATATGATTAGATATAATGAAAAATACTTCAGGCTCAAGTTTAAGTCATTTTGTATTTAAGTACTGATTTTTACAAAATGCAGTTTGTAAAGGTGAACTAAATTTACAACTTAATTTGTTCATATAAATTGCCTTAAAAATACATTTTGGCTAAGACGTGCACAGGATCTTATATGCATTTTGGAAGAAATCACACAGAAGCAGCTGCTTTGTCAATAAACTTGGCCAATTTCACATCTCTTTTGGTTAGTCCACCACAGTCATGAGAGGTGAGAGTTATCTGGACCTAAGAAAGAAAAAAGCAGTTTTTAAAACCCTGAGCTACAATTCATGGTATTCTCCTTTGGTGATTCAGAAATCAACTTAGTATTCAAAATTCAATATTATTCATATATGAAAATTAGGGGGATTAAATGATTTAGCAAATACTCCACTATAAGCAAAGCACTTCCAAAACCCAGTGAACTCCAGGGGCACAGTCTGCACCAGGCCAGACCCAGCAGCCACCCAGGGACAAAACACTTCTCTCATATGAAGAGGCAATTCAGCTGGCAGAATCTCAAATCTAGTTTCTTGGAAAAAAAAAAAAGAGAGAGAGAGACTGAGGTTCCATTTTAACTCCCATTACTTTAATTACATTGACTATTTTCAAGCCACTGAGAAAAACCAAGCTATCAAATATAATATCTTAGCAGGGGTGTTAAAAAAGCACATTTGCAAATTGGGGAAGTGGGGGAGGAACATACTGTTGATTCCTGAAAAAACTGGTTAAAAAATATGGGCAAAGAGAGGCAAGTAGGAAAGAAAATTTATCCTGGTGCCAGAGTACTTTGAATTATTCCAATAAATCACAAGAGTATTTTTCAAAGAAGACTTTCAAAGAGAAAATAAAACCACACAGAAATATGAATGTGACATTCCAAATGGCATGACCATAAAGGAAAGGACACTTTTAGAGGGACATGATTCTTCTCACTGTGCCCCCTTAAAACTCTTTAATCTGTCCTTGGTCTTAAGTTAAAAGGTTGGTCCCCACTGAAGATACAGATTTTAATACCAGTATTTAAAACACAGTTCTTAAGCAAATTTATTTCAATTATAAAGCCATATTGATCTTATTTGCTACCATTTCTTTCAGTAATTTACCTTAAGTTTAAAAATGTATCTGCATGGCTGATATTCAAGTTTAACTCAGGAGCCTAATTTGGCCCAACTTTCTCATATTAGTTTCAGTAGAAGACAAGCACAAAAAAAAAAAATTCACTGTTCTTATGAGCAGACTTGAAAATTTGTAACTAATTTGCAATAATATACAGGGATTCTGAGAGAAAGGATATAAGAATACTTTCTTAAGCACAGTGACATTAAGCTGCACAAAATGACCAGGAAGAAAGAAGTTTCTTAAACTCCATAATTAAGGTGATCCCAAAAGAAGGCAGTTTAGTTACCTTGTTGTACACATTGAACCATTCTGGGTGATGATTCATCTTCTCTGCTTGTAAAGCAATTCGGGACATAAAGCCAAATGCCTGTATAAGATGAAATCCGGAGTAATTACTGACATTGTCCTACACCATGTTCCTGAGAGAGACACTACAGCAATCCAACCAGATAAAGACATGCTAGGATCCTTAGGGAAGCCTGGAGGAATCAAATATGAAAGGATTGTTCTCTGCAGGCCTGGGGTAGTGTTGTAGGAGGACTGTGACCTGCTGCTCGATGGGGAAAAAGAATCAGGCTCGAATAAACAATCCAGGAAATTGGTCTCACCCAGTGACCTGTGTGGACTATTTAATTGTCCTCAGGACAAGACTCTCCAAAGTAGCACAGGAATAATTTCCCTTTAACCCAGTGCCCTGGGTCTCACTACCTGGCCCCAAATCTTAGGAGCCACTTTTCTTGCAGCCCTGATCCTGTTGTTTTTAGTGATTGGGTTCCTCACTAAGGTATTGACCACAAGACTATGGAAAAAGGTCGTCTGAGTGTGTCATAAGCAAAAGCACTAGCAGAAATGAACAACTTCCTCGCCTCCCAGGGAGGACAGGAGGGAATGAAAGACTATTTTCATTGGCATCTAGAGTGAGACACAAAAGACTGGCTTGCCTGCTCGGGGTCTTCTTGCTAC